TGTATTATGAATCCTGAGTGTGGGATCCAATGCAATGCGTTGTATATAGATACAAGTTAGTCAACGGATGAGTTCGGCACTGGGTAAGTTTGCCACCAGGCGAGTTCAGGGCTGGTTGAGTCAGGCGTCAGCCAGGCGAGGTTTTGAATGAGTCGGGGTCACCGGGGGTGGTGATGAGCTAGGTACCGGATGAGTTAGGCACCGGATGAGTTAGGCACCGGATGAGTTAGGCACCGGATGAGTTAGGCATCGGATGAATACGGCACCGTTTGAGTTTGGCACTGGATGAGTTTGGCACCAGATGAGCTTGGTCTTGGATGAGCTTGGCACCGGATGAGCGTGGCACAGGATGAGTTTGGCACCGGATGAGCTTGGCACTAGAGGAGTTCGGCACCGTGCGAGCGTTGTAGATGGGGTGAGTTACGGGCACCGTATGTGTCAGGGGCACGGGGTGAGTTTGGAATAGGGTATGAATTGGGGCCACTTGGCGCGCGATGTGTCTGATGTCAGTTACATAGGCACCGCGAGTGCGCCAGGCATCTGTGTGAGTTTAGGGATTGTGTGAGCGGCTCTGGGTGAGGCACCAGGGGAGTTATCGGGGACCCAGTGCGTCCAGATCGGGTTGTCCGACGAAGCTTTGCTCGTCTACACCATGATTGATATTCAGGCACATTTTCAGGTGGGCTTTATAGGAGAGTTCAGGGCACCTGGTGACTTTCCCACAGTGGATCACTTGGGGTCACCCAGTGACGTACGGGCTTCTGGTGAATTAGGCACCGCGAGTGCGTTACGAGCCCGGGTCAGTTCGGGAGTCCATTGAGGGGCATTGGGCGAGTGAGGCACCAGGTGAATCATGGGGGACCGATAGCTTGCAGATTGGAGTTTTCGAGTGGAATTTTGCTTCACTGCAGCACGTTTAGTAGTCTAGCAAATTTTCAGGTCAGCTCGGCGCGTGCTGGGTGAACCAGGCTCCGGCGAAATCCGGTATACCATAAGTTCGTCTGCACCGGGTGAGTTCTTCACCAGATGAGCTAGGCACCGGTTGGGTCAGTCAGCGGATGAGTTAGGCACCGGATGAGTTCTGCACCGGATGAGTTTGTTAGCGCAGGTGTTAAGCACCAGATGAGTTAGGCGGTGGGCTGCACTCCGCACCCGATGAGTAGATCATGGGATGATTGGGTCATCGGATGATTTCAGCATCGGATCGCAGGATCACTTAAGCACTGGCTGAGTTAAGTAACGGGTGGGTTTGGCCCAGGATGCGGTCGGAGGGATCGAGTGGTTATATTTTTGAATTCTTGAGAGGGCATCTGCTTGACTACGAAACTTTCTGTAGTCAAGCAGGAGTAAGGGGAGGAGGAGGAGGAAAAGGACGATGGGGGAGGAGGTACGAGGAGGAGGAGAAGGAGGTGGAAGAGGAGGAGGAGGATGGGATGATAAGTTGGAGGAGGAGGAAGAGGAGGAGGAGGAGTTGAAGGAGGATGAGGAGGAGAAGGAGGACTGGCAGCGTCAGTCAGCGTAAGCTGTCGCTCGCGTTCTGGGCCGCTCTTCGGGTTTCGTTGGGCCAAGCCAGGTCTTTGAACATTTGCTTGACTATAAAACGTCTTGTAGTCAAGCAAGTTTTCAGGCAGTCGTGGACTTCGTGCATTTTGGTCCTGGGCGCATAATGGGATGTCTTGGAAAGCGTGGCTTTGTCCAGTCTATTTTTGCGGACTTCACTGGGAGAGTCGATGTCTTTGAACATGTGATTGATCATACATTTGCTTGACTACAAAACGTGTTGTAGTCAAGCAGTTTTTCAGGCAGTGTTGGGGCTATCCATTCATGGCCTTCGGCGCTTCTTGGACTCTTTTGGGAGGCCCGGGGTTGTCTTCGCATGCTTGCGGGTTCGATTGGGGCACGGCAGTCCTGAGAACATTGGCTTGCTTACCAAACGTTGTGTAGTCAAGCACATTGCTAAAGGTATTGGATGCGTCAGGTGTATACATACTTTGGAAGTTCTTGATTTGTGTTGGGTGTCTGTCGCTGCCCTGGCTTGCTCTTCCGTTTTGATTGGGTGTATCTCGGCTTGTCTTGGGAAGTCTTGGGTTGTCATCGCTTGCTTCGCGTTTTTTCGAGGAAGTAGACGAGGATGGGGACGATAATAGTTTTTGACGTCGTTTGGAGAATTTTCGAGAGGAGAACCATGCACTGGGTGAGTGACCCACGAGTCCGGCACCGGGTGAGATCGGCCAGGGTGAATCAGGTGCCGGGGGTGTCCGGCACCGGATGAGGTAGTCGCAGGACGAGTTTGTTTTTGGATGAGTTACGCACCTGATGCGTTCGTCACCGGATGAGTTGAGCACCCGATGAGTTCAGGACCGGACGAGATCAGCCCAGGATGAGTTCGGGACCGGATGAGTTAGTCACGGTTGAGTTAAGCATCGGATGAGTCAGTCACCAAAAGCACCGGATGAGTTCAGCACCGGGTGTGTTTGGCACCAGATGAGGTCGGGACGAGTGAGTTTGATGCCGGATGAGTTTGGGATCGGATGAATTAGTCACCGGATGAGTTTGACCAGATGGGTTAGGCACAGGATGTATTAGCCCGGATCAGCTATTCACTGGATGAGTTTGACTGGACGAGTTAGTCATCGGATGAGTTAAGACCAGGTGAGTTTGCAATCGGATGAGTTTGACCGGATGAGTTTGACCAGACGAGTTTGCATCGGATGAATCAGTCCAGTTTCATTACGCCCTAAATTGTCACGTTGTGCAATATTACGCAGTGCTGCTATGATGCAGTATCGATGCTACGATGTGGCACGCTTGACTGAATTGCTACTCCGCGATGCTACGATTTGCGAAGCTATGCGATGTGAAATGGTATGCCGTGATGTGTCAGTCGGCGCCAGCATACGCATGTATGATGTTGTAGTCGCTATGATTTGCACTGTTTTGCACTGCATCTCTTCGCACTGCATCCAGACGCCCCCCAGCAGAAAAAGAAGGTCTCCCTTGTTGGGGTCGCGCTTGGCTTAAGTCGGGCGTGTCCCTCTACAGGAGGAATATTCAAAAGTAGGTAAAAAATGGTTTGGGGACGATTTTTTGAACATATCTGGAATATTTTAGAATCTTTTCGGGGTATTCTTAATTATTCGCCCAAAATCGGCCTGTAGGGGGATATGCCCGACCTAACGCTGGGCTCATGGGGCTCATCCTTTCTTGGAAGGCTCGGAGGTTGATAGACCTCCTACCCTGACACGTCGATTAAGGAATTGGCCGTTTTCGGTTTGCGAGATGGCGCGCGGCCGTCATTTTTGCGGGTCCAGGTCCGTCGGTTTCGGTCCCAGGCCGTTTTCGCTGAAGGGTGGTTCACTAAAGGGAGGTTTGTCCACCGCCGACCCTGCCCCCGCGTCGTCACAGCGCGGCGCCGCGCTGTGACTGGATGCGCAGCTCTCGGCTGCCGTCTGATGGGCCTCTTTTCCACCACCACCACCACCGTAGATTGTAGGGGGAGGGGGTTCCGCCCCCTCCTCCTCCTCCTCCTCCTCCTCCTCGTCCTCCTCCTCCATCTCCTTCCCCCCTCCTCCTCCTCCTCTTCCTCCTCCTCCTCCTCCTCCGCCTCTTCGTCCTCCTCCTCTTCCTCCTCCTCCTCCTCCTCCTCCCCTCCTCCTCCTCCTCTTCGTCCTCCTCCTCGTCCTCCATCTCCTTCCCCCCTCCACCTTACGGTGGCGGCGGTGGAAGACAGGCCGGTAGCAGTCGGCCACGCGCAGAGGGGGGGCGTGTGTCCCCCATACAGGCGGATGTTGGACGACAAATAACGAATCCGAGCATTTCCAAAAGAGGCCCCAAGAGGCCCCAAAACGGCCCCCAAGAGGCCCCAAAACTCGGCTAGCCCACAACGGTGCGACAATATGGGCCGGCGGAATGAGCGAAGCGATTAAATACCAAATCCGAGCATTTCCTTTGGGGGTGGAGGGCAAAGGGTGAAGCCTGACATGCCGTTTCGATGGATTTTCGAGGCCTGAATCTTCAGAAGGTGATTCTCAAGACGGATTGGGTTTCGAGCTGCAAGAGCCCATATACGGATTTCACCCCGAGCCCTCCACCGTAAGAACGTGCTCAGACGATACCCCCCACAATGCTCAAACAGATGCAGACACAGTCAACAAAATCGTCCCCAGACTATTTTTTTTGGGTGCTATTTTTGACTACTCCTCCTGTAGAGGGGCATGCCCGACTTAAGGTTAGAAGAAGGCTGCTTCTGCGAATGCGCGGGCCTTCTGTACAGATGCAAGCCTGGCGCCTCCGAAGAAGCAGCCTCCTTCAGAGAAGCCTTCCCCCCCTCCCCCTTACCCCCTCGTGCGCGCCGCCAAGGCAGTCAAAGACGTTGAAACAAGGAACGCTGTGGGCTCAGGAGGGACTCGGGGTTCGGGGCCGTTCCTGAGATTGATGTCGTGGGACCTGTTTGTGGCCTAGGCCCGCGGTGGCCAGAAAAGCCCCTATGAACCCTGAGATTCGACGTTGCCAAAGTAATGCAGCACCGCAAAACAATCGCGACCCGAATCCTGGTGGACCCCGTCTTTCTGTGTCATTTTTCGAAGCGGCTCGATCTGTGAGGGTCCCGGGGCCCGAGCCTTGGCGAAAACGCCTGTTGTGACAAGATTGCAACGCCAGGGTCTCAGGGACAGGTCGCGCCAGGAGGTGGGAGGGCTCCAGCGCCGTGCCCCGGTGGACAGGCGCCTCCCGCCGCAGAGGAGGACGAGCTCGAGGCGGAGGGCGAGTACGAGGAGGAGGGCGAGTACGAGGACGAGGGCGAGTTCGACAAGGATGACGAGTTCGAGGAAGAGGAAGAGGACGAGTTCGAGGAGGACGTCGAAGATGACCTCGAGGACCAGCGCTGGGTCTGGATGGAGGTTGACCGTGGCATGCTTGTGTTGTCCTCGCCTCTTGAGCCATCCCCGGGCCCGTTGTTCATTCAGATGGTGCCAGCATTCTTTCCCATCAGCGTGCTATGATTGCACCTGCATGCGAACCGTCCAGAATGCTCGCGCTCGGAATTCTCACAGCATGCTGAGAAGCGCTCCAGAGCTTCGCCTTTGAGGGAGCCAGAAGTTGGCTTCTCTTCCTCGGCGGAAGGCTGCGGCAGCCTGCGGCAGCCAACGAGGCGCCCCAAAGATATGTCCGTGTTTGGGTGACTCAGGATGAGCGATCCACAAGCTTCACCCGGACGCGGTGCGAGGAGGATGGCGGGAGAGATCGACATCTGCTGCTTCCGTCTGAGCACTGTCAAACCGCCTCACAAGGAGGAGTAACCTTCCCAGGGTGCCCTTTGCTTTGAGGTCCCTGCTAGCCCTTAGCCGCGTCCCTCTACAAGAGGAGTATTCAAACATAGTTTTGAAAATAGTATGGGGGCGATTTTTGAGCATTCTTTGACTCAGGAGGAGGAGGAGGAGGAGGAGGAGGAGGAGGAGGAGGAGGAGGAGGAGGAGGAGGAGGAGGAGGAGGAGGAGGAGGAGGAGGAGGAGGAGGAGGAGGAGGAGGAGGAGGAGCAGGAGGAGGAGGAGCAGGAGGAGGAGGGGGAGAAGACGAAGGACCGAGAGATCGAGGATGCCCGAGGGGGGAGGAGGACCAAGGACCGGGGGGAAGGCGGAAATGCGGGACCCGGGACCGCTTCTCGCTTCTCGGGGCAGGCCCGACCGCATCCCGGCCCTTGGCCACGGGCCTCGGGCGGCAGAGAGGGCCCCGCCGTGCCGACCGGGCGCCCGCGCGCTCCCGCCGCGCGCGCCGTGCTGCGGCCCGGGCCCGCCCGGCGCGATCGCGGCAGGCGCTCAGGGGGGGGAAGCAAGCACAGGCACTCCTCCTCCTCCTCCTCCTCCTCCTTCTCCTCCTCCTCCTCCTCCTCCTCCTCCTCCTCCTCCTCCAAGAGGTTGCATATCGGGTGCACAGGTCATCGTCGGCTCCCAGGAAAATAAAACGGAAAACATGGGAAGTGGGGGGGAAGACGAACCCCCAGATAATATTGGAAAATGTGGGGAATCCTGGGCATTGTATGTGTGTGTGTGTGTGTGTTTATTTGTGTGCTTATTGGTGTTCCTGGGCCCCTTGAGTCGCGCTGCACCCGGAATCTGCAGTCGGCGGCAAATCCCATCTAAGGGTCCTGCCTTCGAGGATCGAAGGAGTTGGCATCTCTTCCTTGGCTCAAGTTCAAATCGGGCCTGTCCCTCTGCAGGAGGAAAACTCAAAAACAGTAAAAAAATAGTCAGGGGACGATTTTTGAGCATTTTTTGAATGTATTTGAATATGTTTCGGATATTTTTAGTTTTTTCTCCAACATCCGCCTATAGGGGGACATGCCCGACCTAAGCGTAAGGGGGCGGAAGGGCGGCGGAAGGTCGGCAGAAGTAAAACGAGGCCGCCTCCGCTGGCGGAAGCTCGGAGGAAGGCGGTGGAAGCAAAAGAGGTGCCCCCAAGAGACGAAAACGTTATTGGGTTCAGGGTTTCCGAAATCGCCTTATCCTTGAAGATAAATCGGCCGTGGCCCTGAGGTGGTTGGCCCAATTCCAAGCGCCTCGCCCAGCATCAGGACTACCGGTGTACACACCAGCATTCGGAGGCCTGCGCCTCTTGGGTGGGCGCAGATACCCCCATCCCTGGCGCGTTCTGCGCGCCAGGGCTGGCGCCCCTGGTGGCGCCTCGGGCGCGCTCCGCCCGCCAGGGACCGGAGTCCAGCGCCGATCCCACAACATCCAGGCTGTATGCTGCTGGTTTAATCGAGGAAACGTGAAACTCGAGCACGCCGGAACTCGGGTCTGCCGACGCTCTTTGACGAGCGCGTCCCGGGTTTGGACGGTCCAGTTCTCGTGGGATGTTTTAGCGGGAGCTCGCGTCAAATTTCAGACTGGGTCTCGTCATCTTCGTGGTGGCCCCGTCAGGCCAATGCGATCCCCCTGGACCCGAGTCTTACGTCTCCCCGAAGGAGCTCGCCATGGGAGAAGCGGGTCCTGAGGGAAACGCGTCCTGAGGTTTCTCGCCGTTTTTGGCTTCCCGGAGCCCTCCACGGGCCCTGGGATTATCAGAAAACGACACAGGATGAAGAATTGTCCTGGGGGAAGTCCCCCGAACCCGAGTCTTACGTCTCCTGAAGGGGAGGGGTGTCATGGCGCCCACATCGCAAAGCGGACTTCGTTCGGAAAATGACAGGATGGGCTTGGAGTGTCCTGGAGAATTTCGTTCCGGATTTCGAGGTGAATTTCGCGCGGCTTTTTTTTCCCAGGAGTGAAGACTAACAAAACATCCATGCGAAATTCACTTCGTTTTTCGTTCGCCGTGTTAGGCTTTTGCACGGACAGAACCACGCCAAAGTTCGCTGCAGCACGTCTGTAAGGGTGGCGCGCCGAGGGGTGCAGCGAGGCGGTCGCGACCGACGGGAACGGGGCCGCCAGGCCCGCAGGCGGGGTTCGTGTCTGGACAAAGGTGGGGCGGCAACGGATAAGCGCCGGGCCGCGAGGCCTGCAGGCGGGCCCTGCGCCTGAGGAGAGAGGTGAGTACCCCTGAGGGCAAGCACTGTTTGGGACATTTTGATAGGGCATGTTATGATATTTGTGTATCTACACGCATATATATATATATATATATATATATATGTGTATAGATAGATGTGTACACGTATACGCCCAGATACCTATGTTTATAGGTATACGTATGCATGTTTGTACGAATGAACGAATGAACTGTTGCGTGTATGTAATTATAGGTCTACGTGTATATATATATATAGGTAATCATGCCTGCATGCCTGCATGCATGTATGTATGTATGCGTGCATGTAGGTTTTCATGACTGCATACATGAATGTATGTATATACGAGTGTATGTATATATGCATGCAGGAATTGATGTATGCATGCATGCATGTATGTATGCATGCACGCATGTATTTGTGTGTATGCACGTATGTAGATGTATGTGTGTATGCAGGCATGTAGATGTGCATGTGCATGTGCATGTGCATGTGCATGTGCATGTGCATATGCATGTGCATGTGCATGTGCATGTGCATGTGCATGTGCATGTATGCATGTATGTATGCATGCATGCATGCATGTATGCATGTATGTATGTTTGTATGTATAGATATTTGTATATATATATATATGCGTGTGTATATATCTATAGAGGTATGCATGTATTGTGCATGTGCGCATTGATCCCCCAATCAGAGCTTGCCTCTGTTCCCCCATCAGAGCTCGCCTCTGTAGGGGTCCTAGCGGATTCACATGGGTAGGTTAGGTTTGCCGCCGATTTTCGCCGCACGCCCGGGTGCTTGGGTGCCCGGGGGTGCCCGGGTGCCCGGGTGCCCGGGTGCCCGGTGCCCGAGCGTGCCCGAGGGTGCCCGGGTACCCGGGGGTGCCCTATAGCCCTATAGCCCTATAGCCATATAGCCGTATAGCCCAATAGCATTATAGCCCTACAGCCCTACAGCTCTATAGCTCTATAGCCTTATAGCCCTATGGCTCAATAGCCCTATAGCCCTGTAGCCGTATAGCCCTATATCTCTATTACAGCCCTAAGCCTATGCCCCTATACCCTATAGCCCTATAGCCCTGTAGCCCTATAGCCCTGTAGCTCTATTACCCTATAGCCCAATTGCCCTATAGCCCATATAGCCCTATAGCCCTACAGCCCTAAAAAGATTATGATTGGGGTTTTTCTCCGGTATCATTGGGGCCCTAGCGGATTCATATGGGTAGGTTAGGTTTGCCGCCGATTTTCGCCGCAGCTCGGGTGCCCGGGTGCCCCGGGGTGCCCAGGTGCCCGGGTGTCCGGGTGCCCGGGCGTGCCCGGGGGTGCCCGGGTACCCCGGGGTGCCCTATAGCCCTATAGCCCTATAGCCATATAGCCGTATAGCCCAATAGCATTATAGCCCTACAGCCCTACAGCTCTATAGCTCTATAGCCCTATAGCCCTATAACTCAATGACCCTATAGCCCCATAGCAGTATAGCCCTATAGCTCTATAGCCCTATACCCCTATACCCTATAGCTCTATAGCCCTGTAGCCCTATAACCCTGTAGCTCTATTATCCTATAACCCAATAGCCCTATAGCCCATATAGCCCTATAGCCCTACAGCCCTAAAAAGATCATGCTTGGGTTTCTTCTCCGGTATCATGTATGTATGCATGTATGTATACATGAATGTATGCATGTATGTATGTATGTACGCATGCATGCATGTATGGATGTACGCATGCATGTTTGTACATTTGCATGCATATATGCACACATGTATGCATACATGTACGCCTGCAGGTGCGTACGCATGTATGTATAATTATATCATGCATCTAATCATGTATGCACGTATGTATGTTTGCAGACATTCATGTTTGCATGCATGTCTATATGAAAGTATATATACAAGCATGCATGTATGTATGCATATATATATACATATGTATATCTGTGCATACGGTCCGAAATGTTACACTATGGCGTGCTAGTTTATACCATGTCCTTCTAATATTTGTTATACTATGGCATGCTATATCATACATGTCATACTAAACCATATCATAGTATGCTAATTTATGGTTTAGTATGACATGTATGAAATATTGAAGTTGTATATATATGTATATGTTTGCCTGTCTGTCTGCCAGTCTACCTGTCTGCCTATCTGTCTGTCTGTCTGTCTGTCTGTCTGTCTGTATGTATGTATGTATGTATGTATGCATGTGTCTGCGTATGCATGCATGCATGCACGCACACACTCACACACACACACACGTCTCTCTCTCTCTCTATATATATATATGTATGCATATATCGAAGACGCCTACGGCGAATCACCGCCGCCCCCTGCCTTTGTGGAAGCGTCTATGTGGCCGAACGTTGAGGTCAGACATGCGAAGCTATCGGACCATGTGCTCCCCGAATCGGTTTGGAAAGCCTTCGGGGAACACGTGGGCATCTTGAAGGTCATCTTGGCCGTCTGGATGCCATTTTGGGTCTTT